AAAAGTTTTGTTCGAGTGTATGTGTGTGTGCTAACGTCAATATGCAATAACTGTCTTAAATTAGTGATTAAAAATGATGTTAGGCTCTGGTCATCAAGGCTTAGTTACCAAATAAAAAGACCTGATCGATACTGCGTAAGTTCATAGTCAATTATGATTGAGAAAATGAGATGTAATCTTGTAAGCATGTAAGTCAGGTTACTAAAACACCTGTCCTAACCTCTCAGTCTAGGGTCATTAAAGTTTAACTACTCAAGGAAATACATGACTATCCCTGCCCAATCTGGTACGTCTGGTTAGGTTGATTAGCAACAAAAGTAGCAGGACTTGTATGAAGGATAATTATCCAAACCATCCTATATTTATCTATGCCTATTCATTTTCGTTTTTAGTTATGAGTATATATACGAGGTGGGATAGAGACGAATACTCTTCTTGGAATAATGTTAACATGGGACATTTACAAGAATGAGTTCCGTTTCTAATGATGTCCATCATATGATGGACAAAAGCTCAGCCCATTTTCACCAGAAGCGAGGAATGTCTCGTGGACTGCGTCAACCTGAATGTCGTATTAAAGCCAAGGCACTGCAGTACAACGGGATTCGGCTGTCGTCTTCTGGTAAGATCAACCTACGAATCTCTTCTTAATGCACTTTTATACGAAATAAAGGTCTCCCGAAAAATCACATTTTATATTGGGATTTCGGCTAAAGCATTACTTGTATTTCCTTTTATTCAAGGTCTACTCATAGACTTGAAATCCTACTCAAAATGAATAAAATGAATGTTAACGACTTTAATGACAAATGAATGCTACTGCGATAAGCCAACTATAAGTATAATATGTAAGAAACCTAGCAGGCCTTGAAATTTACTTCGGTCCTGTGACTCACTGACATTCATGACAGTGTTCCTTAACAGTACTGTGTAGAAATCAAATGGTGCACTTCCTGGGTTTGATTTCCGATTAGGTGCAGACGATACCTAGGCAAGGTGGAGAATGCAATCAACCGTGGATAAGAATACTTTTTGGAAGCAAGAATGGGTAGAATCCTATCAAAAAAGAATAAAATTGTCTAGATTAGAGAAAAATTGCGATAATAAAGGACCAAACAAACCTTATGACCTTCTTAAAGCAATCCCAGCTATTCTTGTACATCAACTCGCCAAGAACAGCGCCAGTGCGCTGATTCTGCATACGTGTTTTTACCAGGTCAATGGGGTACACTGCAGTAGCTCCTATAGCACCGGCTATACTGCCCAGTGCAAATCGATATACCTGCTCAAGTAAACCAATGAGAAATGTTCGACCCCGTCCTGCCGCCTCCTTTTCTACAGTTCCCTGTTAAGGAAATTAAAATTAAGGAAGGAAAGAGAAAAAAATATTCAAAATGCATGTGGAATCGGGTGGAAGGAGTCAAAGGTTACAGTATAATAGGGGAAATTTGAGAGTAGATACAGTTAAAATTCACAATTACCTGAATATTAGTTGTCGTCAATAAGAACATATTAATAGAAATGATAAAATGGATAAAAAACGTGACATTATGAGTGTTATTAACTTGGAGTCTAGTC